TATGCAGACTCATAGCGATCCTCCTGTCCTATCCTCCCCAGCATTAGCATTACAGGCATGTGCTACCACACTCAGTTCGGGTGGCAGGCAAGGTTCACCAAGGGTTTCAGGGCACACCAGTATGCTGTACCAGGGATCAAACCCAGGTCCTTGAGATTGCCAGGCAGGGACTTAGAACACCAAGCTATCTCCCCAGCCCCTCATTTAACTTTTTAAAGAATAAAATTGGAATTTCTTTCCTAACTTTGTTGAGAATGTGCTTTTTAATTTTTTCCTTGAAGTAGATAATGTCAAGGCTTCTAAAATATAAAGAAGCTAGAAATCTGGAAAGATCAGATCTTTCCTGGTTTAATATGCATCTTCAAATGTGTTTGAAAAGATTACTGTTTTGTTCATTGTTTGTTTTTTCAAAGTCATCTAAAACCAGCACTATTTAATAGGGTACCTTTCTGGAAGAGAAAATTTACCCTCATATTGTCTCAGGATGGGGATTGGTTGAGGAATAATGAATGCATGTGTTTATTAGAGTCTCATTCTAATAGTTGGGAGTCTACTTCTGCCTCTACTGTTTTCTAATAGTATAGGTAAATGGTGATTGCTATGGAAGTATCTATACAGAAGTAAGCCACTCATACAACTGGAACCAATTTAATGAAGATTTCATATTGACTAAATCAGACTGACTTTCCAATTGAAAAAGAGAATTTAGATGTTCTATTATATATCTTTAAATATATTGACACCGTGCTAATAGATGTATTTAAGAAAAGACATTGGGCTCTCTATTTTATTCTTTCATTCTAGAGCTTCTCAGGAGCCATGGGAAGAGTTTCATTATATTCAGACTTGGTATAAATCAGCACCAAAACCATGGGCTGAATTATTTCCCTTTAGTATGGATACCTCAGTAGTTTGGGAAAGGAGACTAAGCTGTAGTCTGCAATAGTTCAAGAACAGTTAGCTGAGCTGATTTTTTTTTTGCAAATATATACTTTGCTAGGCATTTTTCTGCTTTGGACAGAGCTACCTGGAGTAAAGAGGTAGATGTAGTCCTGTCTTTATATTCAAAGCAGGACTTTTTAAAAACTCTCTGCCTAACCATATGCTTAATGCTTTAAATTTGAAATTTGGTCCTGCCCAACTCAATAATAGTGATTAATTGTCCACTGGGTATAAGGTACTAGGGAGTTCTGAGTTCTGACAGGAGTTACCAAGAAGGAAAATGATCTGTCCCTTTCCCCCCAGAGCTTAAGGCCCAATAGAAAAGGACTACCATAGACATGTTAAACTACAGCAGGCTTTTAGCCAAGTTGATAAAAAAAATTCCAAAGCTGTTTGATCAGCATACTTGTTGGCAATATTTCCTTCCAAGGGTCCCTCCCTGCCTGTCTCATGTCTCACACAGAGCCTCTGTGGTGTACTGGGGATCCGTGAGCTCCAGGACACCACCCCCTGTAGACCCAGGTACCCCCAGCCAAGAACTGGTGGGTTCCTACTTCACCTGTATCATTTTGCAGGCTAGAAGAAGTCATTATTGTATCCACATTATAGGGATTTTTTTAGCTGAAATAAATTGGATGAAATTACTGCTAACTTCCTCTGGAGCCTAGAAGCAAAGACGATATTGCTGATGGTTGTGCTTTTTGATTATTTACAGATGACTTTAGCTGTGTCCATGTGCAGAAAGAATGGTAGATTTTTAGAACTAGCCTTTTTCTTTTAATGCTTAGACATTTTCTGGTTACTTTACTCAAGTTAACTAAGACCAAGTAGAGTAGGAACAAGAGTAATAAAACAAATACTATAACTGAAAATATATCACAATCCTCATAAATCTGAGTGGGTTGCAGTAATCATTTGAACAATACCCTTATCTGCAAGCAAGGCCATCCATAAACCATTGAGTCTTTTTTCCTTACTCTATATGTATGCTATGTACAATCTTTACTTATTTTATGTGTGTCTGTGTATACACATCTGAATTGATGTGTATTACATTGGTATACACATAAGATAGTTTGTGAAAATTCCCAGCACCAAAATCAGAAAACTTCATATGGTCACCCTTCATTCTGAGTGGTAGTGAATAAGAACATATTAAAGACTCTGATGAATCCCATAATGAACTACTCTATTTAATTTTAGTTCAGCACTTCTAAAATCTTTGACATAAAATCCTTTTTATTTATAACATCTCTAAAAAATGCAGGGGACATGAAATGTGTATGTAATATGACACACTTAAAATTTAATTGTTTTTAAGGTTTGTTGAATTGTATTTACTTAAATATATACTTTTTTTCACTTCAAAAAAGAAATGCCCTTAAAAATGGAACCTTGTTCAATTTGATGTCTCCATAGAATTATGCTTCCTTCCCAAGAGCTGTTAGAATAAAATCAGGTACAAACAAAACTTTCAGTCTGTAGTACTGAACACATGAATATATTATAATTTTGAGCCTTGAAGTTTTTATTTGCAATTTAGTAAGAATTACTATCTTAAGTTCACATAAAAATTTATACTGAAACTGTAATCTATGAAGAAAATGAAACATAAAATTAAGCTACGCCAAAGTATCTTAAGGAAACAAAACATGAAATAGAAAGCTTACATGCCTGGGTATATAATTTTGGTTATTAGGTAATGTATCCAAATCTGTAAATCATAGAAAATTCCCTCTGATAAAAATCGCTTGGAGGAGCTTGTTAAAATAAAGAGTCTAGGACTGGCGACACAGCTCAGTGGAATAACTGAGCTGAATAACTGTGCCTGACTGGCAAGCACAAGGTCCTGAGTTCAATCCCTGGCACCACCAAATTAATTAATTAATTAATTAATTAATTAAAGAATCTAGGACCTTATGTCACCCCACTGAGTTATTTGTGGCTGAGAGAACAGGATTTGTACAAATTATTATTTTAAAAATGTCAAGGTCAGATGTGGTAGCACAACCTGCAATCCCAGCACTCTGGATTTGAAGAAGGAGAATTGTTCTGAGTTTAAGATCAGCATGGGCTACGAAATGAGCTCAAGGCCGGCCTTAGCCACATAGTGAAGCTGTCTCAAAGAATAAAATTTCTAAATTATTTCCTGCATACTGAAGTTTGAGAACAATTAAATGTATAATTTTTAGGATATTCAAAGAAAACACTTACATTTACATTTTAAGAAAGTATTTATCCTAGGAAGCAATACATTTATTTCAATAATGTTGCCATTTCTCAGTCCAAATATTTTTGCAGTACTCTTTTCATACTGCCTTACAGGCCACACAAACATTCTTTGGTATCTATTCAATTGTGCAAATCTGCTCTTACAGGGTGGATTTGTGTGTTAGCAACTGTCACATACATTTAGAAGCATGTCTAGTGAATGATGCAAATGACCAGACAGAGTAACATAGTCTGGAGCCGTAAATAGGGTGTGATTTTGAAGCAAATTAAACTAGTTTTCTTGGGTGGCTTTCAAAAAACACTGACATGCCTAAGTTTACCAAAACATATGCACATTTTCACAAGCACTATATTTAATCAGAATTAAAACTGTAAGAATAGTACATTTGGCTGGTAGAAATGAGTATGTAAAATGTCCTATTTCTAACATTCCTGACAATATATTTATGCATGGCTCCTGTACCAGAAACATATACACATGAACATTAATTCAACATGACGTCTCAAATTTCATCCATGTTGATGGCTTCTTAGCAAAAATGTTTTAGGATCAAGTTTTAAGCCTGTGAAATCAAGACAGCTCGAAGCTGAATTGGAAGCAGCCCATAAGACTGTATTCTCAGATTTTGAGTAACACTTTCATTTGGCTCTTCTTGTTTGATCAGAAGTAAATTCACTGTTTTAAACATCTGTTGTTTGGGGGGGCTACTAATTGCTGTTCTGACCCTGGGTTCTGTGCTGGATTGTGGGTTTCTGGTGTCTTCTGGTGTTGCCATCCTGGTGGCTCCAACAAGTTCTGGGATGACAACTTAATTCACATCCATATCCCCTGCTTTGAGGGTAGCACTACAACAGAAGTCATCAACAATTCACCCAAGATTCATAAGATTTATGGACTAAGTGCCACTGCAACTTTCAAGGCCCTTAGCATTCTAATAAAGTTTAGAAAAATAATCTCAACAATACAAAAAAGTTCAAAAGAATATCGGAGATTCCCCCCAGGGATTTAAGAATTTTACTGAAAATCACATGTTTTCTAAGCTTTAGTTCCATCATCCTTGAAATTGATATAATAGTGAAACTGACTTCAAGGAATTTTTTGAGCTAGTTAAAATAACGTAAGTATAAAACTTAGCTATTTTTACTGTAATCATATAAAGCAACAAACATAGTACTGACATGTGTTTGAATACGACAGCTATTAATATTATTATTTTTAAAGTACTGATGAAATAAGCAGATTATTGAATCGGTAAGTTGACTGATGAGTCACATAACCAAGAAAAGACAAGATGCCAAATTCTTGGTTTATGGAAATTCCCTAATGTATTTTTATTCTAAACAAATATTATTAAAATCATAAATTACTATATTAAGCCCAAATTTCCTTTTCTTTTTTTCTGTCATAGTTTGGCTCATTCCAGGAAAACAGTCTACCAGAGAGATGTATACCAAACCCTTTCTATTTTTTTAAGTTGTTTTTTCTTTCTTTCTTTCTTTCTTTTTTTTTTCAGTACCAAGGATCGAACTTTGGACCTTGAGCATGCGAGTCAGCTGCTTATGCCACTGAGCTGTTCCCCTGGCCCCTCTATTTTTATTTTGAGAGAAGCTTTCTTTAAGTTTCCCAGTTTGGCTTTAAATTTGCCATTCTTCTGCCTCAGCTTCCCAATTAATTTAGGTTATAGGTGCACAACACCAAACTTGGCTGTGCCTAACTTTTAGATTGGAAATTTTTCATATATAAAATATAACTAAATTCTAAGCTTTGCTAAGATGTCAATCAGATGCTTTCCACAAGGAAAAAGAAATCAAGAAATTAGGCTGCAGTGCTTGTATCAACAGCGCATATACTAAAATTAGAATGATATAGAGAAGATTAGCGCGGCCCCTGCACAAGGATGACAACAAATTCATGAAGCATTCTGCATTTTTCTGTCATGCTATCGTGTTGTATATGGCTAGATTTCTAAATTTCTGTGTAAAAAATACGTAATTGCTTATTTTTTTTTACTATTCTTTTTATTTTTTCATATTCTGTAGGGATTAAAAGTTTATATCATATCAACAATTGATAGAAAATACCTGTTCCATTTCACATCTAAGGAGCTTGATGTTTAGACAGTGATGTTAAGCTCAACTGCCTATGTTGTAGGGTAATAATATCATTAAGCTTCTCTTCTGTAGGGTTAAAAATTTAAGTTTGGAGACCAAAAATTAGAGAAGAAGGGCTGAAAGGACAGCCAACATTTTGGCTATAGCTCTTCAAGATCAGTGAGGACACAAGACATAAGAGAACCTGTTCTGTAACATCCCGTAATTCCCAAATTTTCTGATCAGGGAGATTACGGGACCACAGAGGAAAGTGATCGATGATGTAGAGTGTGCCTAAGGAGAGTCACCTAGAGAGAAAATATTCTCTCAGGCTTTCACAGAGAGCAAATTGGTCAAGCAATGGCCATGACTCATCCACATGGCTGACACTGACAAAGGATCTACAGAATGCTGTACTGGGTTTCAGGGTAAATCCTGAGGGAATTTGACTGACCTTGTCAGACACAAAAGTTACATTTTTTGTTATACAGGTTTTGCTTTATCTTGTTCTTCACCATCCAGCAGAAAAGTTAAAAAATGTGGTATAAAAAGTACAGTTATATTAATACACTGAACTGTAAAAGGCTTAAGTCAACAACTTCTGATATTGCCAATTCTGCAGATAAACCACTACTTTTAAGGACTACTGGACTACATTGGATTATTTTGCTGAATTCAAGCACCTACAAATTTTGAATGGCAATGGAATACCTATCTCTGAAAACACTAAACAAGAAGAGGGATACAAATGAAGAACCATATACAGTAATATTTAAATGACAATGGAACACCCTTCTCTGACAAAACTAAACAAAAAAGGAGGATACATAGGAATGACCATTTTGTATCTGTATATTCAAAATAGGATAGATATACAGCTGCATTCTCTTAATTCAATGAATAGAGAGGTTTGTTCTAATAGTGTTTGTGGACAGAATATCATGTTTGCATCTTGTACAATGAATAACCACTAAGACAACAATATGCAATGTATTAATTATTGAAACTGTGCTAGTAGTCAGTTTTGAAACTGTCTCATTGCTATGTTTCTCAATAAAATTATTTAAAAATAATCTATACAAATTTATATGCATCGTTTCTCCCCATTTCAATGGCTTATTGTATATAATTCTTAGCAATACGTACTTCCTTACTAAACAATAAAATGTCACTAAATTTTCCCTAAAATAAATAAATAAATAAAGGATATATATATATATATATATATATATATATATATATATATATCTTAGACCACTGAGCTATCTCCCAAGAACCACTTTTCAAAAGTTCATATTTCAATGTCAAAAACTAAGACTTCTCATTTCTATTGTGTCTTTTTTTCTTTCTTCTTTGTTCTCCTCCATGCCCCTTTCCTTCTCTGCCCTTTCTTTTTCCCAATATTCTCCTTTTCCTTCTTCTTGCCCTCTTTCCCTCTTTCTCCCTTCCTTCCTTCTTCAGTTCTCTGATCTTTCTCTCCTTTTCTTTCTCCCTCCTTTCCTTTCTTCTCTTTGTTCTGTGCCTTCATGTACTTCTTGGCTCTTAACAGAGGAGGAGCTGCCAAAATATCATGAGAAAGGTGGCTCTCAGGGGTAGTTCTTGTCAAGCAGGAAGTGCCAGAGATCTTGTAAATTGTCCAATACAAATTTTATTTTGCGTACTCTAGAGGTTTGCATCTGGATAGACATCTGTATTTTCTGGGTACAGGGCCAAACTGAAACATTCAGTTTATCCATTGCTAATAAACACGTCAGCAGTTTCTTTACTCTCACATCTGTTGTGAAAAATGTTATCTCTCCTGAAGTGTATTTATTTGGTCTTTAATACCAGCTTTCATGGATTCCAAAATAAAGATATTCCTTTATTTAACAAATTTAATAGCATATGCTAGAAAGTGCCTCCCAAGAGTGATGAGATAAATTAAAACACATACTCTATCTTGTGTCCTGAAAAAGGATATCAATATCACCAATGTTGGTGGCTCTCAGGAAGACTATGCCAACTGAAACAACTTGCCTCTTAATCAAGTTCATCTCAAAAATCTATTCAAAATAATGTATGCCTCACAGGAATTCAAAAGAAAGCTTTAAAAACCTATTATCAGTTGTTTCATTATTATGGCTGACTTCAGTCAGGCTGATAGCTTTCTGGAAAAAAAAAAAAAAACAATCTCAAAGCTCTTGTATTACATTTCATATTCTCCAGTACACCTGTACAACCTCATTTTCTGATATTGGGGCTATCAGAAATTCAAACACATTATTTCTCATTACGCATTAGCAAAAACTGGAATCAAGTGTGGTAGCTCATGGCTGTAATTCCAGCATTCGGAAAGGTGAGGAAAGAAGATTGTGTGTTTAAATTAAGCTGGGTTATACACAAGTTCAAGACCAGCCTGTGTTACATAGTGAAACTCTGTCTCAAAAAAAGAAATCAAATAAAAAGCTGTATGTATTCATGTAAATAACAGTATTTCTTCTCTTTCTATTCTTCCAATTTATTTCGTATTTATATCAAAGGTACATTCCATCCTCCCTGGTGCTATCTGCTTATTATCCCTTATTAATACTGTAACCTCTAAAATATTTAATTAATGGGAAATGCTGTTTCTCTCACACAGATGAAGAAAAATATATTTGGAAATTTAGCATAATATATACTTTGAAGGAGCAACCAGGAAAATCCTGATATCAAGGGTATGGTGAATGTTATCAGGCCTATCAAAGACACATATTTTTAAAGCTCTTCTTCTAATTTTATAGATATTGCTAAAACCCCACACCATCTTCTGAAATCCAAAGCCCTTTTGGCCCAACTGGCTAATACTCAATCTCTGCTAATGTCAAGGAGGAAATGAGACACAACTCCCTAAACCTGTCCACCTGTCCCTTCAGCCCCACAACATAAACCAGAAAGCTGGGTACTGATGTATAAAGTTATTTGTAATAACAGAAATATCAGAAAGAAATATGCTAATGAATGGACAGTGGTTCAACAAAAGAGAAATCAAAGATATAACAGCATCAAACAGCAAACATTTTGTTTTCTAATTTAGTTAATAGAACACAAAACAGAAGGTATGAATAAGTAAATTAAGAATGCAAAGGTAAAACAACTAGAGAAGCATCTCAGTAAAGACAAGAGAATAAAGCAGAAACAATCTGCTGGATAATAAAATAGGGAAAACTTCTTAAAGAGAAAAACATTAGAAATGATACAGAATTTCATTAAGAAAAATAAGAGTTCCATAATGGTTGTTCTATTGTATATTGTTGTCTTCAAATTCATGGTTCAGATTAGCAGATATAAGCGTGCAAAATGGTCAAAAAGTTATAAAAAGGTTTAAAAGGAAGGAGAAAAATTAAGAACTTATTTCTCTTTTCAATAGACCACCAGAATGGATAAGTGCAATGCTGATTTCTGTTGGTTGAACACTTAAAAGGACTTTCTAAATAGAACCCAATGGCCAAGAAATAGTTTCAAGGATCAACAAATGTGATCATATCAAATTATTAATCTACTCAGCAAAGAGAACTACCAACACAGTGAAAAGACAACCTATAGAATGGGGAAAAAAGTTTGTCAGTTTTTCGTCAAACACAGGACTAACATAGAAAATATATAATTACCTTTTAAAAAATGAAAGATCCAGCCAAAAAGTTGGTGACTGAAGTCAACATACACTTCTCAAAAGAAGTATAAATGTCCAACAAATACACACAAAAAGATTCCACATTACTGACCACTAGAAAAAATCAAATTAGAAAAATGAGATTCTATCTTGTTTCAGAAAAAATGGCTATTCTCAAGAAATCAAATGCTGGTGAGGCTGTAGGGGAAAAGGAACCCATCTGCATTGTGGTGGGAATGTAAGCTAGTGCAATCACTATGGAAGTAAGTATGGACAGCCCTCAAAACCTAAAAATAGAAATTCCATTTGAACCAGCTATTCCTTTTCTGGGAATCTGGAGTGGATTGACAACTGGTGATCAAATTGCAGCACCCAGCTGAACTCAACCAGAATGTTGCTGGGTATGGCAGGCCCACTATGAATTGTTGCTGTCAGCATAAGAGGCAGAACTGGAGAAAAAGAAGAAACTGTTGGAAGCTTTTAGGGAGGTTATAGGGAGCTGTTAGGTCTCTTAGAGGTGCTTGTCTTGCTTGCTTTCCTGATGAGCTTCGGGAAACTTCAGGAACTCCAGGGCTATCTTCGTCAAAGAAGCCCAGGACCTTGATGTTGCTAAGAATGGCTGCAGTTCATTTTGGGGGTGCTTTTGTCCTCATCTGAACATTGGTTCCTGGCTCAAAAAGAAAAGATAGTGCACAGCTCAATCTCCTGAAGAAGTTTGTCCTGTTTTCATGACGGGAACTTGGCTTTATTAGGAGATTGGGACCTCACTGTTAACTTTGGGGAGAGCTCTGGTTGTTAGTTTGAGCATTCCTTCCTGGCTCTGGATCAGATCCTTCATCCTGCTAGCACAAACCTTCTTGCTTCCATCACTGACCTTTGTGCCTTCCCAGTGCCTGCATGAAGCATTATTATGAGCTCTGGGCCTTTAGTTGGACTTATGGGAGGCACTATTTTGGGCTCTAGGTCTTTGACTGGACTCGTGAAGGACATTACCATGGGACTCAGGTCTTAAGCTGGATTCTTTGGTCTTTAGTGTGTGAATAAATTTCTTGAATTATTTGTGTATGATTCTTTGTATAACTCATTATAAAATAGTTTTATAAAATACATGTCTTATATTGTATTATTCCCCTTAAAAAAAAACCCAAACTATAATAATATCTTCCTGAAAGAGTTCAAGACATTATATTGCAGTGATATAGACATGCCC